CGGCCCTGGGAGCGCCCGGGCGGGAGCGGGCGGCCGGGCGCGGAGGATTTGAGCGGGCCCGCAGTGGGCCAGAGACCGGTCCGGGCTGGAGCCTGAGTCGCAGCCGCGGCGGCGGAGCTGCCGGGTAGGTGCAGGCCCAGCGGAGCCAGGCCACCGGAGCCGCGCTGGCTGTGCGCGGCTGGGCCCTGGGCGGCAGAGGCAGGGAGGGCTGGCAGGGCCCGGGCGCGGGTTTGTGAGGTTCGGGGCTGGGGCTGCGGGAGGGGACCTCTGGCCGAAGGCGCTGGTGGGAGCGGCTTGAGGCCGGAGCGCGGGACACAGTCCGGGCGACACTGCCCCAGGGGCGGTGCGGCTATCTTTAGCTGTCGGTGTGACGGTGTGAGCGTGCTCCGCACCTCGTGCACAGCCGTGGTTGCGGGGGGAGGCAGTCGTTTCCTGTCGGAAATTGCCAAGGAGCTGCGGGAGAGACCCATCCGAACGGACCCCTAACTTGGAGTCCGTCGGTGGGGCCCTGGAGAAGTGAGGATGGTTACCTTTTCTGCACCTGGATGAGACAGCTCCCTGCTATTCAGTAGACCTGGGTTAATGACTTAGAAATGAAGGTACACGACTGTGCCTAGTAGGTGCTTAATGAGTTCTAATGACTACTGGGAATTTAATGACCAGCTGTATTTCCAGGTTATTTGTCCATGGGATACTCCGGTTAAACAAAATTCCTCGTTGCAAAGCATGAGTAGAAAGAAGTCCTGACTGAGGATTAGAGCACCACCAGGGGTTTGAAGTTCGCTGGAGCCTTTCATTGGGGCAATCTTGGGCTAGCCATTTAACTTCGGAGACTCAGTTCCTCCATCTGTAAATGATGTGAACCAGAATGCATCTTGATTTTCTTCCAGCCCACTTGTAAGATTCCCCCTGTGTTATCTCCCTGTGTTATTCAGTCTTTGTGTGGTCTCATGTTGTGGCAGTTACTTTTCTCCATGCCTCCGCTTTTTGTCAAACTGGGTAATTCACCAAATGTTCTTGTAGAAGGGTTCCCAGGAACTTTGTATCACGTTGAAAAGACTTGACTTTCTGAGGCCCCTGTGGGTGAGTGGGTAACCTGCCACTTGGTCCATGCAGAAGCCAGGTGTTAGTGGCTATGGTTCAGATAACACAGCTGTTCTACTGGGCATGCTGCAAGCTCCTGTCAGTGGCCTGCGAGAAATCCAGACCAAATAATGGTTTCCTTCAACTCCCAAATGAACACATTTTTCAGTGGATTTACGTTTATGTAGAAACATTTTTATTTTCATCTTATTGCACTTTATATGCAAGTCCTATGCAGATGTGTTTCATTACCCTTACTTTATAGATAAGGAAGTAGTTAAGAGTGGATTCACAATAGCCTTCCTTAATAGCTTAGTGTCTCCTGTGTCATTGAGCACATGTGGGGTTTTAGCTTGTTTGTTTTTAAGTGGGAGTAGAAACTTCTTAGAAACTTCTCTACCAAAGCCAGTGCATCTGTGTAGGGTTTGACCTGAGGAGCAGATGGTCCATTTGGTGGTGTACAGGTGGCCTTCCTGCTGCACTAGTCTCTACAGTTCTAGGTGGCAGTAGTCCAGGTGGGTCAATAGGTTCAGCTTGGTGAAGTAGTTACAGGTCAGGGAAAACATGCTCAGGTTTTGAAATGTGAAGCTTATACAAGCTGTCTGTGGAATTCTGTCATGATAATCATACCTCTTAAATTGATAGTACCCTAGATTGCCTTGGTTGAAATTTAGAATCTTAAGTTCTTAACAAGATTTCTGAAATTGGTGTTTACATGAGCTTTCAAGTTTTTAGTTTTTGAATTATTCCTCATTCACTTGAGAAATAAAATGAGATAGCTGTAGTGTTTTCAAGCCTGTACATGTGAGCTTCTTTGGCCTACTTTTAATACCCTTTTTTTTTTTTTGCATGCTTTTGACAGTTGTGTGTGTGTGTGTCTTTAAAAGTTGGAAAACCTACAGACACTTATTTGGAGGTCTTGGGCAGTTTCACATAGTGTCTTTTACATTCATACCTGTGACTAGGGTGCTTTGTGTATGCAATACATATTCAGCAGTTTTTGTTAGAACTCCAGCCCACTTGTAAGATTCCCTCTGTGTTATTGTATTTTCTTGTATTGTATTTTCATTCACATATTTAGGAGGCTATATATCAAGTATAAGTTGCTTAAAAGGTTATTGAAATGTAATCATCACCCATCACCATATCCTCGAAAGTACTTGGAAAGTGTAGAAGGGATAGTTAGAGGATGCAGAGAGATGACTGATGCAAGAGGCATTGAGCCTGTGTAAAAAGTGAAAGGGCACTTAAGGGCACTTAAATGATAAAGTATAGATTTCAGGTTTCAGTAGTTATAATTATCACCTACTTTTGTTCACTGTGTTTGTAGCTACATAAGGGCTACTAGCATCCACTGCCTTCCTATTAGAAATGTAAGTATGTGCAAGTGTCATCATCTAGGATGCACACAAAGTAACTTATCTCTGACATAAATAATTTTTCTCCATTTGTTTCTAGATCCTTCATGATGAAAGTTCTGGGGGCACTCCTCTCTCCTCTGTGTAATTGGTAGCTTGGGTGGGGAAGAGATGGCTGACAGTGTCAAAACCTTTCTGCAGGACCTTGCCAGGGTGAGTACATCAAGACACTTCTTGATCTTTTTGCTTTAGGAACTGCAGTTAGCAGCCTCCACCTTGTAGAAACTTGGGTCCAGTGAATGTCTCTGGTATCAGAACCCTGGTCAGCCTAGCTTCAAGGCCTTTGTTGTTGTTGGCTTTATAGTTGTGAACTTTCAGAAAAATTAACAACCATATAGTACATTCCTGTATGTCCTTCACCTAACATTAGGTTCCCCTAATGTTAACATCTTATATATATCTGTGGTATACCAGTCAAAACTAAGAACTTTGGTACAATAAGCTACTTTATTCACTTTACACTACAGAAATTTTCCTATACAGTGAAGAAATGTCCCATAATGATCTGTTTAGGACCAAATGACCAGTAGCACAAAATTCCTGTGGATGTCTGAGGTTTCTTTATTTTAGTTGTGGTCCCATCCCTGCAACTATGTTCCCAGGAGCAAGAGAGATCAGTTCTGGTGGTGGAAGTCCTTCCCATAATAGTGGTGTTTTAAGTTCATTATCTTTGAGTAAGAGAGGAAATTGGAGAAGTATCTTAGAAGAGCCAGAAACTTCATTCCACACATACGGGTCACACATTTCATCCCTGTACGTATTCATCGCTATTCTGTGTTACAAAGTTTGAACCCTGGAACTTCCAGGCTGCTGAACATGTGGAGATTTGGGGAGAATGGTATGCCTAGAGAGGGCATGAAGTTTCCATGCCTTTTCCTCATGCCTCACCCTCTGTATCTCCTCCATAGAATTGTTCCTAAGTTGTATCACCAATAAATTGGTATTTAGTAAGTAAAAAGATAAGTTAAGTTCACCCTGGACCACTTCTGTGATGTGCTGCTTACATGTTTGTCCACTCTGCTGTATCTCGGAGGTGGGGACTCCGTCATTTACACACATACCAGACCCACAGCCATTGAACTTAATTAACTTAAATATTTACGCTATTTGTGGAAAATTTAGAAGTCAAAAACAAAGTAAATCAGCAACCACTGAGGCTTGAATTCTATCCCCTGGCTGGGAGCTGGCCCACATGGTGCAGCAGACCTCCCCTGTCTCGCCCTCTGCTCCCCACTCTATCTCTGGTGAGTCATTTCACTCCCAACCGCAATCCCTCACCTCTGGCCTACACCCCAACCTTAAGTCCAGTATTCCTTCCAGAATTTTTTTTTTTTTTTTTGCCCTTTGCCACCATTTTGTTAAGCTAAATAACCCTCTTGCTACCATTCTACGTTGGATATACATCTGTTATGCTGCTTCTTATTTTTCTTTTTAAAAATAATAGTTTATTTTTACATCATTTTGTACATTTTTTTCATCTCAGTTGTAATCCTCATGGGTTTCCCACCACCAAGTGCCATCAGCATAGTCCAGTTTTTTTTTTTTTTAAGATTTATTTATTTATGCATACAAAAGCTGGGGTGTAGGCCAGAGGTGCTGGTGTAGGTGAGAGGATTCGCCAGAGACAGAGTTGGGAGTGGGACAGGTAAATCGTCTACAATATACAGTTGAGGGGAGCAGTGGTCTAGACAAGTCTAGACAGGAGAGGTCAGCTGTGCCATGTAGGTCAGCTCCCTGGCTGGAGATTGACTTGTGCTGCAGTGGCTGCAGATAAATTGGTAGTGCTGAGACTTAATCCCTTGGGCCACCAGGGAGGACTGCTGCTTCTTAAGCCACATTTTTGTTGTGTGCTTTCCCTACTAAGTCATATCTCTTTAACATATCTGTATGACTAATGTTTAGTTCATTGCAGATGCTCAGTAAGTGGGTGTCTGGTTGAATGAATGCAGATCTTTGAACTGGGTGATAGGCAGTTCTGGTATCTGTAACACCAGCAGTATCTTTGTGCTGGGCCTCCCTGGTGACATAAGGGGTTAAGTTGCAGCACTGTGGAGCTATTGGCAGCCACTGCAGTATAAGTCAATCCCTGGCCAGGGAGCTGACCCACATGGTGCAGCAGACCTCTCTCCTGTCTCACATGCTGCTCCCCTCAGCAGTGTATTTTAGTGAGTCCGCCTGTTCTGCTCCCCACTCTGTCTCTGGTGAATCCTCTCTCTGTCTTTCTCTCACACCCCTCTGGCTGACATTCCAGCTCTCGTATGCATTAATAAATTCTTTAAAAAACAAATCTTTGTGCTATTGGAGCTCTTACATATATATGGTTGGCAAGTGCCTCTGACACTGTCTTAATAGTGTGATATGCTCTGGAACTCTACTTCAGTTATCTCACCATGTTGTTTCTGTACATGGTGTGTTTTTATCCTATACCTTTAAACATTTAACAGTAATCATTTCTTTGTGTCCTCCAATTTGGTGTAGCCCTGGTCCTTTATAGAGGTTGGTGTTAATTTATTCTTGTATAGTTTAGCACAAGATATAAGGCATACTGTAGGTATTTAACTACTGAAAAATGTTGGGGAGAACAATAACTTGACTTTAATAGTATTCAAGTTTAGAGGTTTGGCAAGCCATTATGTTGCAGCCATATTAGGTGGGTGGGTTTGGTCTGGATGAGAGTTGTCAATGGATGCTAAGTCTAGGGGCCAGAACTTGATAAGCAGGATATTTGAATAATCTCAGAAGTATCTGTTCACAGCCTGCTTATTAATTGCAAGGAGAAACAACTATATAGTGGAAGTCATAATGCCTTAACTGAGTGTGAAAAGTTAATATCACCAGCTAGAGCAGACAGACATGTTCCTGTGAGGGCATAACATCACTTCTGTGATAGTCCTGCTAAAATTGCTTAACTGGGCCTAATCATAAGGAAACACACCAGAATAAAGGGAATACTATAATTTAACACTGCTTAGGAGCTGTTGCTGATTATAGACTAAGAAAACTTTACAACTAGATACAATATATGATTCTGAACTGAATTCTTAACATTTGAGGGATAAAAATGCTATAGCGAACATTGGAAAAATTAATGTGAACTGTTGATTAAAATATTCTAATAAATTTCTTGGTAACTATCTTATATAAGAAAGTATCCTTTTTCTTAGGAAATATACACTGAAGAATTAAAAGTAAAGGGGCATAATGTAATAACCTCATGAATCAAAATATATGTATATATAATTTATAAATTTAAAAATGGTAATTTGGCAAAATATTAGTCTGTCGAATTTGGAGAAAGGGTATTTGGAAGTTATCCATTCTTGTAACTCTTTAGTAAATTGGAAATTATTTAAAATAAAAATCAACATTCCCTTAAACAGTGCTTGCAAAAGAAGCACGTTGGTTTCCACTGTTATTTTGTTTTGTGGTATATGTACCTTTGAAAAGTCTTCTTTGATCCATAATCTTTCCTTTTTTTAAAAAAAACAATACTTTTGTCTATAGGGAATCAAAGACTCGGTCTGGGGAATTTGTACCATCTCAAAACTAGATGCTCGAATTCAGCAAAAGAGAGAAGAGCAGCGTCGAAGAAGGGCAAGCAGTGTCCTGGCACAGAGGAGAGCCCAGAGCATAGAGAGGAAGCAGGAAAGGTACAGAGCAGAGGCTCCTACTGGACATGTCCTGGGGAGGCCACATCAGGAGGATGTGCAGAGAGTATGGAGGATGCCCTACAGAATGGGCTTTCAGTACCTGATGACTTGTGTTTTATACTTTTGCCCTCTAAGTTGTTACAAGGGATCTTCCCCCCTCCTCCACATTGAATTAAATTAGAATGTTACAGTAATCCTTGCTCCAATATCATACAGCTTAAAAAAGATACAATGATACGCACAAATTATCAACTGATGGACACATCTAGGTAAAGCTATTTATTTGCTGATAGAACCTTAGACTTCCTCCTGTTCTGCAGTCTTGGATTTTAGAAGATATATTTTTTCCTTTTCATGAAAAATTTTTTGCAGAGATATTTTTAGCCTTTCCTCATTGGCATTAGGAGAACAGTGGGAAGAATAATTGGCTGGGGAAATAATACCAGTAGAAGATATAAATGGAGAGCTCTGTACAACAATATGGAAATAGCCTGTACTCCTTATATACTAAACACATATGGTCTTTTCCAGTGAGCCCCGTATTGTTAGTAGGATTTTCCAGTGTTGTGCTTGGAATGGTGGAGTGTTCTGGGTAAGTTTTTCCCCTCATATTCCAGCCTTATTAGCATCTTCATATTGTTGCTATGTCAATAATTCTCAACTGTTTTCTTGAAACTGGGACAAGTAGCTTTCACCTACTGACCTATGCTTAATACCATAATTCAGCATTCTCTGCACCTTTAGTCATTTTATTCCCAAAGAATACTTGTATATAAATCTCCAGGGTAGACTTCCCTGGTGACCTAGGGGTTAAATCTCAGTGCTATCACCAGTACAGCCTGGGTTCAAGTCCCGGGCAGAGAGTTGACCCACATGGCACTGCAAATCTCTCCTGTGTTCCCCACTGCTTCACTCAGCAGTGTTCTTGAGTAGATCTGCCTGTTCGACTCCTTTCTCTGTCTCTGGTAAATCCTTTCACCCCCTGCACCTCTGGCCTACACCCCAGATTTAACACAAAAATAAATAAAATCTTAAAAAAAAAAAAAATAGGGGGCCCTCCCTGGTACGCAGCAGGTTAAAGCACAGCACTAAAAAGCTAAAGTCACGTCAGCATGAGTTCGATCCCCAGCCAGGGAGCTGACCCACATGGCGTGGCAGATCTCTCCTGACCTGCCCGCTGCTCCCCTCAACAGTGTACTTCATCAGTCAGCCTGTTCTGTGCTCCACTCTGTTTCTGGTGAATCCTCTCACTGCCCCTGCTCCTCTGGCCTGAACCCTAGTTCAGTATGCATAAATAAATCAATCTTTAAAAAAAAAACAAAAAACCCTGGGATGCCATTAAAAAAAAATGTCAGGGGTTGCCCTGAGTATATACTTTTCTTTATTTTTTTAATGATTTATTCACAGCTTTTAATATTGTCAGAGGTAGCAGTTTCTCTTAGATTGTCTCCACATTTTAAGTAAGGACAACTATGGGGGAGGAACTGGAATGGGCAGTTGGGTAAGAGGGCAAGGTTGTCCCAGCATCTGGTCACAACCACCTGTCTGAATTGATTACTACTGAAAGGACTTACACAGGCTTAAGTAAGAGTTACGTACTTTGAATGCAGGTAGTTAAGTACTACCTTTGACTTGGAAATCAGAATTCAGCTTGTCTTAACCTAAACATTTCACATACGTTTCCAGATGGTAGCCATAACTTACAGAATATTACTGTGTACTCAGGATATGGCTATATTTGGCCTAAATAGTATTTGAAATGCTCTTATGTGCCCCCCAGAATTTTACAGGCAGTGTCAGATTTGTACCTCTCAGCTGGGATATTGGGAAGTAGATGTAGATCCAGTTTTCATGCCACTTTGCCTCTCATTTATAAAAGTCACCTTCACTGGGGAAATGATTAGTCCTCTGAAACTTGTAACTCTTGTTTTAAAGAAAGACTTAAAATTTACCTTATTGCTTTTGTCCCTTAGTTCAGTCTGCTCCTGTTTTATCGAGTGTTTATTCCTGCACTTCAGTCTGTCACAGCCCAAATTATTGGTAAGTATGTTCATTGGTTTCTGCCTGAATGAAGATGGGAGGTGTTTCTCTCAGGGAAACATCCGAATAACTGGGAGCTTTTTGACTCGAACCTCCCAACCTGTTGAGAGGCTACAGTTAGATACATCATTTTATGTGTGAGGAAATGGGAGTTACGGAGGTCAAACCAATAGTAAGTGGCACAGCTGGAATTTAAACCTAGATGGTTTCCTGCAAATTGTGTACAATTAATCCTTGTGGCATTTCAGTCACCACCAGCTAAGCAGATTTGTCTCAAGGTAAACAGCACATATCTGTGGCTACTCTGAACTGGAGTTGTGGCCAGAATTAGGTATGTCCCCAAAGGAAAAAAGACTATTTGAAATAGGTTTAGTATATGCTGCAAGAAACAAAGGTATTGGAGGGAGGGGAGAGAATAGTCACAAACTAGGTGTTCTTATTTTAGCCTCTGGTTTTTCATTTCTCTAGCTTAACTGATATCTTTCCCTCTTTCTCAGGTGACCCAGCACTACATGGAGATGTCTGGTCTTGGCTGGAATTCTTCCTTACGTCAGTTTTCAGTGCCCTCTGGGTGCTCCCCCTCTTTGTGCTTAGCAAAGTCGTGAATGCGATCTGGTTTCAAGTAGGTCTGGGACAGGATGGGGTCTGGGCCTTACGATGTGATGGGCCAACACGGGGGCAGGTTTCAGCCTATGAAGGGAGTGATTTTATAATGTGAATCTTTCTTATTCAAGCCGCCAGTGGGTGATCTTGTGCTCTTATAAAATGGAATTGTTGTCTCAGCTCACCAGAGCATTCCATTGTCAAATATTCAGGGGCTTTTCTCACCTGGCAGGCCTAGAGAGAGATCAGTGATCTTAGCTGTGGGGTGGCTCTGGAGGCAATTTAATTCATGTTTTGGTGCGCTGCTTTCTCTGTTATAGGACATAGCTGATCTGGCATTTGAGGTGTCAGGGAGGAAGCCTCACCCATTCCCTAGTGTCAGCAAAATAATTGCTGACATGCTCTTCAACCTTTTGCTGCAGGCGCTTTTCCTCATCCAGGTGAGCCTGGCCTTCTCTACACCAGGGGGATCTTCACAAGGACAGGTTCTTATATTTACACTGAGGGCTGATATGCTTTATGGGAGGTAATAATTTTTTAAGTCATTTTTCACAAACAACTAGAGAATTTAAAAATCACAAAATGATAAGAAACACGAATTTACCTACTCTTCCCTGCCTCTCTGGGGATTCCCTGCTCTCCTGTTATTCAGAAACATGAGAGGTAACTGAGGCTATCTAGGCAGAGAGTGATGTCTCAGTGGCAGGTGGGTAGTGTGGGGGCTCTGAAGCTTTGGAATTAAGATTTTCCATATTTGTTCTTCAGGGAATGTTTGTGAGTCTCTTTCCCATCCATCTCGTTGGGCAGCTGGTTAGTCTTCTCCATATGTCCCTTCTCTACTCGCTATACTGTTTCGAATATCGTTGGTTCAATAAAGGTAAGTCTGTGTAAAGACACTTAGAACTTGGGAGTTCCAGCTGGGAAATGCCACTGTCAAGCAGACAACTTGAACTAGTCAATACTTAGGTCCTGGGCAAACCATCTTCGGAGGAAAGTAACCTCTGTAGCAAGAGGGGACTTACTTTTGGCTTAAGAGGTTTAACCCTTAGCTTTGAGGCTGGGGGAATATATTGCCTTTATGGTGCATAACGTGATGTGGCTGACGGAGCCATAAAAAGGTGTGAGTGAGTCTGAATTAGAAATTAAAATGACATCATTACATTCAGATTCTTTTGAGATACTTTAAAGCTCTTGGCATATTTGTCTAGGTGTGTATGGTTCAGTGGGGTTAACTGATTTTTGCAGGATGGCTGCCTTTTTCGTTCTTTCTTTTGGATGACTGCCTTTTCCTTTGCTATCTTCCTTTGTTAAAAACTAATCCTGACAAAGGATGTCTGTGTTGTAATTCATAATTCACTTAGTCCGTCAGCTTTGAAATTGTGATTACTGAGTTGTAAAAACTTTGCCTGAAAGTTTTATGTCAGGTTTACACAATTATAGTTGCATTCTGCCTGGCTGATCTTTACCTAAGACCCAAGCTTCCAGTCACTGACTAAGATATAATGTACAATCTTACTGTTTTGGCTTCTTTACTTTAGGAATTGAAATGCACCAGCGGTTGTCAAACATAGAAAGGAATTGGCCTTACTACTTTGGATTTGGTTTGCCCTTGGCTTTCCTCACAGCAATGCAGTCCTCATACATTATCAGGTGACTTGGTTAGAGGGACTTGAAGGGGACTAGTAAAAATAAAGCTCCAACTAAGCAACACCTTCTGTGTGCCTGGTTCTTGCTAGACACTCTGATTACTAGTCTTTAGGAGATCAATAGGATTTTTCACCTTGTCAGTCTCATTGGTCAGATAGCATTAAAGTCTATACTGCATTATCCTATATGCCATATTCTTTTTTTATATTGCCTCCTGGAGCAGTTTTTGTTTTTTTCCTGGGGAAGTTTTTAATATAACTAGTACTTAAAGAAATTTTTTGTTCTTTTTGAAAGCTGTTTGTAATCCTAAGGTTCCACCACAACATAATGTAAGCACTGGAGGAAAAGGATCTCTGGGCTTCTAATAGCTTGAAAGTCATGGCTCTTATTAATGTGACTAATGACTCTTTTCTTCATTTTTCCTTAATAGTGGCTGCCTGTTCTCTATCCTCTTCCCTTTATTCATTATCAGCGCCAATGAAGCAAAGACCCCTGGCAAAGCGTAGTAAGTATTAGCCAATGCATCATACTTTTTTTTGTGTAAAGGATTAGGGCAATAATGCCATGGTTACATGAATGAGGCTTTTTTCTTTAAATAACACCTTACATTGCAGGAAAACAATATACAGTTTAATGAGAGGAAAACACTTCTGGGATAGATCAGCAAATTTCCCCCATACACATAGGCACATAAATATGTATGTGCTTAAAAAAATTAGTCTTATCATGCATATTCTTAATATTTAGCTATTGATTGAATATGAGGCACTTGTAAACATCTGAAGTTAATTCACTTTTGTGAGAATGACAAATTTGTGTTAAAAAAAGAATACTGGGCTGTGTGCTGGCTGTGTAAGTTATTGATAGTAACAAAAGGTATTTGGAAATTAGTTTTTAGCAAAAGTTGTATCACTTCAAAGAAAAGCTTAGATTTTTATCTGTCTTGATTAAGTGAGGATACATGATGAGAAATTTCACATCTGTTTTGGGTTTTTGCATGCCCTTGCTATTCAGCTGTGCTGCGTATGTATATTCATAGATACTATCTACTTTCTGTTGAACGGAAGCACACATAACCTGTAGCTTCAGAGCTAGCTTGAAGCTTGGATCCTGTAGTCAGCCAGAGAAAAGTACTTCTTGAATTAGAATTAACTTGAAATGAAGCTCTCTCCTCTGAGCCCCAGTATTCCAAATAGCAGATCATGGGCACTGAGGACAGCCACTGAGCCCAGTGCACACTTGCATTGCTCAGCCTCTCAGTCCATGTGTCTTAATATCTGTTTTCTTGGTCATATTTTAGTTGTCTTATTTTCCCTTTGTCATTTTTTTTAATGTCAAGTAAGTTGTCACGTAACTAAAAGCATAATTTTGATCAACTAAGGATCTCACAAGTTGGGTCTCTTACCTTTTAGCCTTTTTCAGTTGCGCCTATTCTCCTTGGTGGTTTTCTTAAGCAACAGACTCTTCCACAAGACGGTGTACCTGCAGTCTACCCTGAGTAGCTCAACCTCTACTGAGAAGTTCCCTTCACCACACCCGTCTCCTGCCAAATCGAAGGCTGCCGCAGGCCACTGAGTTGCCTGCCGTCCAGAAGGGAAGGGTGGGATTGGAAGGAGGCTGTGGCAGCTCTACTCCTGTTCTCCTCCCCCACCAGGGAAGGCAGGACCCACTCTGCCAAGGGCCTACTGCGTATTCCCTTCTCTGAGGAATTGGAATTTTTTGTCTCTGGTGCATGTAAGGCAGAATCTTCCTGACACCAGTATGTGGATTTTTAATACCAGTGAGTCTAAAAGGACCACAGGTTTTTCTGCAGCTCTTTTCTAGCACTTGCCAGCCCCCGTGCCTGGACTGATTTGATTACTTTGTTTTTCTCCCTGTGCCATTTACCCTCCAGACTACCCCTTCCTGCCTTCCACCACCCTTGGATGAATGGATTTTATAATTCTAGCTGTTGTATTTTGTGGATTTGTTATTTTTGTTGTTTTTCTGTGAAGCACATATATTGGATATGGGAGGTACAGGAGTAGTTCAGTTGCTCCTGGTCGCTCCCTTTATAGCCATCACTGTCTTGTTTCTTGTAACTCAGGTTAGATTTTGGTCTCTCTTGGTCCACTGCAAAAAATAAGCCTGAAAAGATGGGACAGGAGGAAAGACCTCACAGCCAGATCTGCTAGGTTTTGAGGACTGATTATTTTTCTTCCTCTTGAAGGGGAATAAAGCTTTTTTCACTGGTATATTTTAAAGTTCCCCAGCTATAGGGAAGTACCATTTTTTGGACAAGTGCCACTGTAAAACAGAATGCTCAGAGAACCTGAACTTGTGAACTCTGGAGGTCTGGATTCACTGTTGGCCACTGCCAGGTCTGTCTGGTATTTCAAAGGGATATGGGTGCTGCACATAGCAACTGAAGGGGTAAACTTATTAAACCCATTAAACCTGTGATTGGTGTTTTCCTTTTCATTTTAAGAGAGTGAGTATGGGGGGAAGGGCAGATGTCACAGCACTTGTATAATTTTAAAACATCACAATTAAACATGAGCTGATTTCCCACAAAGTATGTTGAATTTACATGCTATCACCTTGAGAGATGTATTCGTGCAATATAAAGCTATCGGATAACTTGGTTATAGTTTCGAGACAGTATTCCTGGAACAGCTTCCCTGAGGAAGTTTGGATTATGTGATTCTGATGTTAACAGCCTTGGAAAGAATTGGGGATTGTTGAGTTATTTGTTTTGAAGTCTAGTTTACACATCTCTCATGTATACATTCTTGAAGGGAGAAAGATTATTCTAAATTTTAGTGTATTAAATATTATAAGGAGATTTAGACATTTGGCTAACGGCATCCTTTAACTGTGTATAAGACAAAAACAGTATTTTAAAATCACGCTGGGAGATATAAGCCAAATTTGAAAGGCAAAAGGTTTTAAAATAGTGGGATTTTAGAAGTAGGCGTTATTTCCAACTCATGCACAAAAGAGATTGCAAAAGATATAGTATAAAATAAGATTTATTTCCAGTACTCCTCCAAGACGTCTCTGGCCATTTAACAATATTATTGTAGAGAATTACTTCCAGGTTGCTGTGGGGATGATTTGAAGACCTCAGTATTTTATCACCTTGTAACTGGTCATGATTACCTTCTTTAAGATTTTTTAGGTTTTAAAAATAGCTTAGTTATTTAATTGACCACATATTTGTTGCCTGAGACTTGTATTTGTACCAACTAAACTGGTCTTAGTCACTCCAAGAAGATTGGGGGGGGGGGGGTGAAGGCTTATCATATTACCCAGCACTGTGCCTTGCTATGAAAAATGCTTACAGTGTAAGTGACTGGAAATGAGGAACATCCAAAGTTTAACTCTTGTAATTTAAAGGCCAGACTAGGGATATCTACAATAGAAATTTGGTAACAGTCTCAAATGAGATGAAGTATAAACTTCTCTTGCCTAATGTGCTGAAGGCAGTGATTAGGAAATTGAGATCAAAGTGAGTAGATCTGTCTTTGCCAAATTGAGAATGATGGTGCAGACAAAAACTCTAGAGCTGAGTTGCCTGTTAGAGCAACTCTTGAAGAATTAAGATGGTAGATGAAAATTTCAATGGAGAAAGCCATGTATTGTTACTGTAAGGACCAAGGTTAAGAGTAATTGGGACAAATGGTCAAATCCAGAAGAGTGCAATTTAATGTTTAGAGGTTTGTGAACCACCTTAAAAGGATAACAGCTATGGGAATAAGAGGAAAGCTAGCATTTTCATTAGTGTTAATTTCCTATCCAGTATTGTTTTCTGTATCAGAGTAATACATTTATCTAGCTCCTGATATTCACGTTTACCTGCCTCTGGTAAAGCATATCATTTTGTCAGTAGTAAAGTGGAATAGGCTACTTAGCAGTCAGCTCACATACACCCGCTCATCCCTTTCTATTATTGTATGACTCACAGAAGTTAAAAGGAAGTTGGCTTCATTCAGGTCAGTGTAACTTAGGCCTCTGTAACAATGATATCCATACATCAGTGAACTATTTTGACAAGTGTGTTTATAGGAGTAGTATAGGATCCAATGAGGTAATAAATGAGACATGTAACAAGCACTTGAGTACCCCTGTCAGGATTTGCAAGGCACTGGGGATTCAAGAGCGAGCCAGAGGTACATAATAGTGCCATGAACCTAGCAGTGCAGGAGAGTCACAAGCAAGTGATCAAATTTTAAAAACTTAGCTGTTTAAATAGCTATCAGGGGAATCTCAACACTAGATGAAATAGTGGAATTAGAGAACCTGAGTAGGATGAAAGATAAAATATGTTCATACTAATTCTCTGACAGGAAGTTTAAATATTTTCAGACTTAGTGACTTATTTGATAATGTTGACCAGGGATCAACATTAGAATCAGGAGCATTCCCAAAACAAAAGACTGAAGAAAATTTAACTATAGAAACAAAAGGTAACTAGAAATTCTAATTACCAATGTTCCTGTATTTTTTTTAAAGATTTGCTTATGTTCACAAGAACTGGGTACAGGTCAAAAGTGTGGGGGTGAGAGGATTTGCCAGAGACAGAGTAGGGAGCAGAACAGGCAGATGTACTGAAATACACTGCTGAGGGGAGTAGCAGGTGAGACAGGAGAGGTCTGCCATGCCTTGTGGGTCACCTCCCTGGCCAGGGATTAAAGTTGGTACTGCAGTGGCTGTGAATAGCTTCATAGTGCTGCACTTTAACCTACTGTGCCACCAGTGGGCCGGAGGGCCCACCAATGTTCATATTTGAGGTGATAACTGTATCCATAACAACAAATTGTGAAAAGGGAACAAAATAGTAACTTGGAAACTAAACAGTTGTGGAACTGAAATGATTTATAACACTGACACTGAGGAAACTAAACTAGAAAATATCAAGTTGAAATCTATAATATAGACCAAAAGGATCAAGATGTGTGAAAGGTTAAGGATCCAGAGGTTTTTTGAGAACTGGGAGATTCAATTTGTCTAATAGCAGCTTCAGAAAATGGGAACAGAAACATGGAAACATAACTCAAGGAAAATTTCTTGGACTGATAATGAAAACTGGAACTTTCAGATAAGGCCTGTCAAGTGTAAAGCAGCAAAAAAAAAAAAAAAAAAAATTACCTATGGAACATTAGGCATTTCAAGAATAGTTCCAAATAACAAGTGGTAAAACTATTATCTTGAAAGCTTTTCTGTGTGTTGGTGGTATGTATGGGATGGGGAAATTCCAGTTTGATTCCTCTACATAAAGCAGTTTTGTTAAGTAAATGCTTCTTCTAAACAAGTTAGTTTTTTTCTTAAAAATTTAATCAAAATTGGTCTTAAAAAGATGCTGTTCTGGCCCTAGCTGGTGGCACAGCGGGTTAGAGCACAGCACTGAGAAGCTAAGGCTACTTCCACATGAGTTCGATTCCCGTCTGCCCAGGAGGTGACCACATGGCGTGGCAGACCTCTCCTGGCCCCACCCGCTGCTCCCATCAGCAGTGTACTTCGTCCATCTGCCTGTTCTGCTCCCAGCTCTGTCTCTGGTGAGGCCTCTCGCTGTCCCTGAGCTTCTGGCCTGTACCCCAGTTCTGTATGCACAAATAAATCTTTAAAAGAAAAAAAAAGGCTGTTTCAAGAATATAAAGACGTGGGGGTTCTTAGTTTTCTTTTTAATGATTGAACAAACTCTAAACCTATAAATTTTAAACCTAGTCACAATTAAGGACAAAGGTAAATGCATTTTTCTTGCCTTCACCTAGCTTTTCTGAAAAAGTTACTAGAGAAATCCATCAAAGAAAAATTTAAATCTAAGAAATAGACAACTATTAATAAAATCAAGAAAAAAAAACAAGAAAATCACCTAATCCAACAACATAAGTGCATAGAGAAGAATCCTACAGTAAAGCTTTGCAGCACACTTAGATTGGTGGGTTCTAGGGAAAACATCTTCAAGAAGATAATACTGTGACTCCAGTGTGCTCCAGATAAGATGAAAATAATGGGGTTTCAAGCAATGACATTAAAGAGGTAAACAGACACTCAGGAAAGAACAAAAGCTCCACGGGAGTGACATGACTCCTACAAAAGGAAGGTTAAAAATAACATTTAAACAACTGATAACACAGTAAAAACAGTTTTTTTGAAACAACCAAGTTAAAAACCTTGCAGTTCAGGAGGAAGAAAGATTAATGATATGCTGAACTCAAGTATGTATATTCTCTGGGTTTTTATACTAACGATTTTTCTGTTTTGTGTTTGCTTTTATTTATAGACAAGACTTTCCTTATTGGTTGGTATTAAAGATGATCCTAAAATAGGTTTAGAATTTAAACCTTGTCCCTTAGTAGTATATTTTGACTTCTTTGATAAAGTTGATGTGTTCTTTACCACTTAGAAACTTAAAATACTTCCTTTAAGAAACATGTTCAACAATTTAAAAAAAAGTTGATGACAAACCCCACATCTTAATTCTTCTTGAAAGGGTATCCCTCCCCCAATTTTAAATAAGTCTAATTTAATTTTAAAAGAAAAAACCCTAACTTGTTTTGAAGAAACATTTACTTGAAGTTCTGTAACTCCTTTAGATTCCGTTTCCGTCTGTTAAATGACATTAAACATAGAAAAAAAATAAAATGTAGGTCTATTGAGTCATAAATTTTGGGGTGAGCCTGGTCATACGAATTTTGAAAAGACGTGATTTTGAAGCACAGATTTAAAAGTGCTTACAGCCAGCTGCATTCATGGTCGAGGAAAGGAGGAACATGAGTAGACTTGATACTAATTTTGAACAGTTACCCATTTTCCTTGGTGTGACTTCAGCTCACTGAAATTAAAGGGCTTGGGAGTTACGGAGTTGATGGGGTTGTCTACGTGGAAGTCTACGAAGGGACGGAACTGGTTGCTGAAACTCAGCCCCCTTTCCGGCCCACAACAGCAATTGTGTGTGTGTGATAGCCAGAGGGAGAAGAGAGGAAAGAAGAGGCAGCTTTCGCTGGCAGGTATCTTACAAAGGGTGAGCTGCCCAAGTACAGCAAGGTCGCATGCCGGTTTTCGCGAAGAAGCTTGGGAGGAAAAGCTCTGTGCAGCAGTGGTTGTCTCTGGGTAGCAGGGCTGTTAAGGTTCTTCCATTTGATCCCAGCGATCCGGTTGGCGTAGGCATGCTCAGTGAAGAGGTCAGGGGCTCGAGACAGGGAAATCTGTAGGGTTCTCCTGTCCCTCGAAGTTTACGAGAGCATTGTCCAAAACAGCTCTTGAGCGAAATTTGTCAGACAAAATCCGGTACAGATGAGTTTGGACCAGAAGCATTACATTTTCATTGTGAATAGATACAAAAATCTGCCCTCCTGTCCTCTCTTTAACCTTATATTAGGTAGCTGTCAATTTCTATCTTCAAAAAAAAAGCCCCCAAAAATCTCAGCGGTAATTTTTTTGGGATTTCTATCTTCGGT